AGGGTGTGCGGCCAGGCCAAGACGGAGTGCAGGGCAGGGCGGACGGGAGACGCTTCCAGCAACTAGAGGGGAACCGTCTGTCTCCCCAAGGACGAGCTGGGCACACCAAGAGGCCCTGGGAAAGGGGCGAGTGAGCAGGAGGAGACCAGGGCCACACTAGAGCTCCCTGGCGGACCCCCAGGTGGCGCCCCATCAGTGTCCCCCCACACCTGCCCCCTCTGGTTCCCCCCATGGCCAGGGCAGAAGCCTGGTCCTGCCCAGCCCCGTGACCCTCGTGACGCCTCAACCTCAGAGCCAGGGCCGGCCTCCAGGACGAGGCGGAGGCCACTTGTCCAGTAGCACCTGCGAGGTCTGAGGGGCGCTGCGCTGGGAGGCAGCCGGGGAGGACGGTTAAAGACCACCATGAAGGAAGGGGCAAGCACAGGGGAGTGTGGTAAGAGGAGGAGGCAGTGCTGCCGCAGGAGTGTGGGCAGGAGAGTCAAAGGCCCTGGGGCAGGAGGCAGACTGCAAGGTGGGGACGGAGGCCTTTCCATTCTAGGTCAAGGGCGCTGAAGGGCTTTAGCAACCTGATCTTCACCTTCAAGAGTGGCCGCTGGCGAGGATGGAGCTGGAGGTCGTCCCCATCTCCACGGAGAGAGGCGCCTCTCCTCTCCCTCAAGCTTGGGAGTCGTCACGGGGCGTGTCCCTGACCCCTGCTGGGTCCCTCCAGCCTCCGCGCCCACTCCTTGCCGTCCCAGCCTCTGCCCAGACAGCCAGACCCTGCACGGACCCGCTCTGCATTTGGCCCCAGCTCATCCTGGCATGGACCCTGGGTGGCCTGGCCAGCTCTTTGGCCAGGAGGCCGTGGCGGAGTGAGGCGGCTGAGCCAAAGGCTTTAGGAACAGGGCAGCTCCTGCTCCGGGGCTTTGACGGCCCTGGTCACCGTGTGCAGCTGGCGGACCCTGGGATGAGGTGAAGAGAGCTGCTCAGCCCCGGCATCACCCGGATCCCAGCCTGCGGCCTCCCGCCAGGGCGCCAGCATGTGAGCCAAGTTGCCCTGATGCTCCCGCCCACCCGCCACCCAGGAGAGCCTAGCGGAGAGTCCTGGCGACCCACAGGGTCCCTTCCCAGTCGCCTCGCCTCAGGACTGTTACCAAGCCACAGGCGCCTGGTGGCCACCGGCCGCTCCCTCGGGTTGGGCTCCCTGGCCCCACGACCCTTGTGTTGCCACACAGCAGACTCCTGTTGGCCCTCCGGGCCCAGACCCCAGCAGCTTCCCGTCGCAGTCTGAGCCGCTCTCTGGGGAGCTGTGACGAGGCTGACGGGGGACACAGGGATTCAAACCCAAGCAGAGCCCCGGCCAAGCCACTGGGGTGTGGGGCCCCCAGGCAGAGTTGAATAGCCACGTCCCAGATTCTCTCAGTTACGTGAGATCCAGGCGTAGGTGAGGCCAGCCGCTTAGAGGTCTCAGTGTTCTTGGTTGGTTTCTCCAAGTCTCGTCCTCGTGACCACAAGATGGCTGCCATGGACAGGTTCTCACATGACAAGCGAGAGAGAGACAAGGAGGAGGAAAAGCCTCCCGTTGCTGAAGTTCCAGGGCTTTCCTGACCATCTCATTGGCCAGTGCCGGGTCACATGACCACCACTTGGCTGGCAAGGGTGCCTGGCACGGAAGCCTGACTTGGGCTTGTTTTCATCTGGAGGTTGCACCCGGAGCCGGCTACCATCTGAACAGACCTTCTTTGGGGCTGGGCTTGGCGTTGCCCGGCCACCTGCCTCACCCACCGCGGCTCTGCTGTCACCTGACGCACCGTCGTGAAGACCCTGTTAGTTCCAAGGGTCTGGGTGTCCAAAGGTGGCGTTCCTGTGCAATGTGGGTGCCCTGCCCTGTCCCTGTCCCTCTCGGGCCACCCTGGTCCTGGGAAGGTGCCGGGCCTCCAGCTGTCCCCCACTTGGCCCTCAGTGGCCTCACTCCCACATCTCAATGGCCACGGCTCCCACACCCTGTCCGTGAGGGCTTGGAGCTTCACGGCTCGCTGGGAAAGAGGAAACGCGGGCCGGAAGGCAGGTTCCACAAAACCAGGTTGTTTCCACTGGAAGGAAGGCGTGGCCTGCCGTCCTGCTCAGTCCCCCGGCCTGAGCAGAGGGACCAGGGGACAGGGCTTCTCAAGCGCACCTCTGCCTGGCCGGGCCTCCGCCTTCCCCTGAGCGCCCCCTGCACCTTCCCAAGGCTGGCGGGCTCGCATCCAGACCCGGCTCACGTGGCCACCTGCCTGGAGACGTCCCTGACTGCCCCAGGGCCACCTCAGGGCCACCTCTGCCTCCACCACCACCACGTCCCTCCTGCTGTCTTGGCTTCTCGGGCCTGGCGCTGCGCCCGCTCTGATCCGCTCTGGTGGCTTCTCGAGTCTCTGGGGCCTGGGCATGGAGTCTACGCCTCGGGCCTGGCCGCTCCCACACACGCAGGTGGGGGATCCTGCTGGGCAGTGGACTGTCCTTCCTCTCCCCAGAGCCTCCACGGCACCGGCCACCCGGCCTCCTCCCTGGTCCTGGAACCTGCCGGGCTGCCTGGTCTCCATGGCACCTGTCTGAACACTCTTCCTCAGACGCCCGGGGTCGCGCTGAGTGTTGGCTCCCCCAGCCCTTCTCCTCTCCAGCCCTGTCACCAACTGACATGCTGCGTTTTACTTCCTTACCCCGGTTCTCGGTCTCCCCCATGCGCCGCTCAGGATGTGAGGACGGGCTGATGGTCATTATGATGGGGTCTGTTTTGCTCATTGCTGGGCACCCACTGATAGAAGGGTCCCCGGCACATATCCGGTGCTCAAGATGAGCAGCTACTGAGCGGCAGCCACCCGGGGCCCGGGACCCTCCCACGGCACACGTTCCCACGGTGCCCGTGGTCACAGGGCTGGTCACAGCTGTCCACGCTGACACTGGGACACGTGTTCCTGACATGGAACAGCCTTCTGCTCTAGGGATGTTCAAATCTCTCAAAGACGGACACTAGAAGTGAGTGACAGATGTGTCCCTTAATGTCCAGACCTGACAAAATGAAATGCCGGGGTCTTCCCGCTGGCTTTACCAGCAGGGCCGTGAGGGATCAGACCCCGAGGGAGCTGTGTGGGTCAGCTTGAGCCACTGGGACGAACACCTGGGAAAAGCCACTTGGAGGAGGAAGGGGCCCCTTTGGCTCTGGAGGTCGGAGGTCTCAGTCCACGGCTGCTCGCCTCTGTCCTGAGACAGGACCTCCTGGCGGGACAGTGTGGCAGAGGAGAGCTGTTCAAGGGACGGTGGAGGGGAAGAGTCTGGGGACAAGACATGGCCCCCAAGGACCACACCCTGAAGGACCCACTCCCTTCAACTGGGCCCCATCTCCCACTGTCCCCCTCCCTGGTCCATCCAGCCGTGAGTCCCTGGGTCACCACCTCAGTGCAGCAGGAGCAGGGATGCAGGAGCCCTTGGGGAACGGTCCAGATCCAAACTGTGACAGAAGCCAAGCCCTGTCCCTGGAGCTCAGTCGGTTCCTGGTAAACAGGAGAGTGCACTGTTTTTATTGAGCAGCAGCGTGGTACCCTGGGGTGCAGCCTGGTGTCCTGGAGCAAAAGACTACATTTCCCAGCCTCCACTGCAGCAAGAGAGGTCAGGTGACTAAGGCATGACCAATAGCGGAAGCAGGCTTCTTTTTTTGTTCCTCCCTCCTTCTTGCTGTCTGGAAGGTGACAAAACAGCTGGACTCAGCCAGCCACACTTGTCCCTGAGGCTGCAATCCTGCCTACGGTGCAGGAGGGACCAGGAAAGAAGGGCCTGTGGCTGTGGAGACGCCACACCAGCTCCGGTCTCCTGTATCTGCACAAGAAGGAAATGTCTGCTGCTCCGAACGTGAACACGTTGACGTGCAAAACCTGCGGTGCTTCTGTGGGAGACCTCACCCCTTGATAAGATTCCACGAGAAAGTCACTGGGGTCCCTTTTCTGTTTTTGCCAAAGCAAACTCAATTCATCTCATGCTTTTCTATACTAAAACAAACGTGTGCATTCTGGGGGAGGACAGAGAAGATGCCGTGAATTTTTCGGAGACCTTTTCTTTTTGTCTGCTAGGGACCCTCCATTGGCCCCTCTGCTGTCAGCAGGAGGAGAGCACATTACTCACAGAAACAGAGTCTGTAACAGCAGAGAGGCCTGGCTGCATTTGAATCCTGAATCTACTACTTGTCATGCACATCTTAGACAAGTCACTGAACCTCTATGACCCTCAGTCTCTTTCTCTATATAAATGAAGACAATAACACACACCTTTGGAGGGTGGCTGGGGGAGTGACTGCATTCTGTTTCCTAGAGGCTCTGGCCCAGAGCAGGTTCCCTGCGCTCCCCTCCCAGGGCTACCCTGGCTTTCTCAGACCCGCCAGCCTCCTCAATGGATCAGAATCACACACAGACAGATCCACAAACAAGCTGGTTTAATAGATTTAGCCCCTTTCCACTCAAATGTTATGTGAAAATAGAATCTTTATTAAACGAGCAAGGCCTAGCAGTCACGCGGTGTTTACTAAGACACCAGGAACATCCAGGGCAATTACTTGGGGCCTGTCTGGAGAGGGGCAGGTGGCGCCCCCTGGTGGAGCACATGCCCCTTCGAGGCCCCCACGGGACAGTCCTGCTCCTGAGCCCAGACCTTGTGTGCTCACCAGGGAGAAGTGGCCGCCCGCGGGCAGCCCTGGCCTTGCGGGGCTCTGGGCCTCGGCCGTGGTGGCCGCAGCCCCTCCCCAGCCGCGTTCTTTTTCAGCCGTTTTCTATTTTGGGCAGTGAGCGCTGGCTGGCCATTACTGGCAGCAACCGGAAGACAAATTTAAATTTAAAAAGTGAGTCTGTCTAAAGGAGAATATTTGGAAAACAACTTAAAATACAGGAAAGGAAAAAAAAGAAGAAGAAGGAAGAGTAACAGCCAGCAGGGACAGGGCTGAGGGCCCCTCTCGGCGACCTTTCAACCCAGAGGACTGGCGCCTGCGGCCTGCGGTTCCCGGGAGGCAGGAGGAGGGCGAGGCCCGGGCCTTCCTGGCCCTGCAGCCAGCACTTACTAAAGGGAAAAAAGGGAGAAAAGAAAAGTCGAGAAAAATTCTAAAGAGTGAAGCGAGAGCAGTTGACCCCTGCTCCAGCGCCTGGGCCGCGGGGGAGCCTCTTCTCCAGGAGCCGTTCCCATGACCTGCTCCAAGGAGGAGGGACCGGCCCTTCTTTGAAGGCAGGAGAGAACCCAGCCTCGGGGACAGCCCGGCCCAGCCTCGGGGACAGCCCGGCCCAGCCTGGGGGGGTCCCCCGCGCACACGCCAGGCTGCAGCCGGGGAGCTCCGGGCTCTTCCGCTGGCCTCCTTCCTTCCCCCCAGCAGCGAGGCGGCAGCGGGGGTTGCCATGGAAACCGGTCGTCCTCCCACAGGAGGCTGCCGGCTCTGATTTCCTGCAGAGTTAAGAAGCAGGCGGCGGCGGGTCACCCAGGCGTGGAGATGGGTCCCCCGGGGATATCCAGCCTCCTGCCAATCACACCGTCTGTCTGGGAATCTGGGGCTGCCTGGCAACAGAGGGCTGGGGAAGCCCCACACCCGCACTGCTCCAGGAAGGGACGGACCCCTGGGGCCTCTCCTGTCCACCTAAAGCCAGAGGACTAGCTCTGTGTCTGTGTCTGTGTCTGAGGGTGTGAATGCACACTCAAGCCTCTGGCTCTGGGCACTCCAAGGCCAGACAGAATGGCACCCCACCAGCCCTGGACCCCGAGGAACATGAGCCCATCCACCATTTGCTCCTAGAACAAGAAGTGTGGTCCCAGTTCGACCAGCTGATGAGCTGTGTGACCCCAGGAAACCCACTGCACCTCTCTGAGCCTGCTTTCCCATGTACAAAGAGGGCATCACCGTCCTCTCTTCACAGAGACATTGTAAGGAACAGAAACCCGTGTCTGCTGGCCCGCCACAGCACCCCAGGGGCATCCGATGAGCAGAACCTGCGGCCACCATCAGGGTTCACAGGCTGTTTTTCTGAGGCAAAGGTTGGTTTCCTCACCGACCTGCTTGTTCAAAGGCCAGTGCAGGCAGGTCAGTCGGCTGGTTCCCACCAGCTCCCTGACGTCACTTCTGCTCCTGTGACGTCACTTCTGGGAGCCTCAGACTCAGGTGCCCTCGGGGCCAGAAGGTACCGAGAGGCAGAGCCGGAGCCCGACGCTGGGGGAGCAGATCCCAGGCCCGGCCAGGCAGAGGGCAGCACTCGGCTCCTGCGCGGTGCCCTGCGGAGCGCCCGGGTGTCAGGAGAGCTGGACGTGGGACTGCCTCCCGCAGACGGAGGGATTCAGACTAAGACCAAGTCCAGGGTCTCTGAAGTGTCGGCCAGGGAAACCGCCTGCGGTGGACAGTGCGCGGCAGGGGTCGGCTCAGGAGCTCAGCCCCTCCCGTGCGCTGGCTCCTCAGCCACCTGGGGCCTGTCTCCTGGTCCCCGTGGCAGGGAAGCCCACATCAGAGGACTCTCCCAGAGCCCAGCGCTCCGCGAGGCCTAGGGACCACACCCGGCTGCCGCTCCTCGGAGATCCTTCTGTCTCTCAGGTGTCCCGTGGACGGTGGGGGGACTCTGTCCAGTGAGTGGGGCACCCAGGGAGGGAGGGGTCCTGAGGGACGCCTTAGCAATCGGGACAGAGCTGCGCTGTGGACACACTGCTGGGTCCAAGGGGCCTCTCCAGGCCAGCATCTGCTTTGACCGGCTTGGCCTGGACCACACTAGTTGTCAAGGGCTGGGACAGGGACCACCGTGGAGCTGGGGGCCTGGCAGCAGGACTCATGGCCCTGCCCTGTCTGGATTAGCTTCAGGGGACATCACCAGGTGACAGGAGCAAGGCGAGCCGGGGAGGAGGAGTCCGGCTGCGGCTTGAGGTCTGCAGCGGCCCGAGCCTCTGCGGTCTTTCCTGCTGTGTCCTTTGCCGCTCCCGCCCCTCGTCCCCTCAGTGGACACAGCCTCTGGAGCAGCAGGAGAGGGCGATGCGGTGCAGGAAGGCAGAGGCGCGCAGGTCAGGGCCGGACGCGGAACCGCACAGGCACGTCGAGTTCCGGCTGCAGGAGGCCGAAGCCGTACCTGCTGAGGTCGAACTCGGGGACCTCCACGTCTGCGCGGACCAGCTCCAGGTCGCAGTGCGTCAGCACCAGGACCACGAACCTGCAGAGAGACGGAGCTGAAGGTGGGCCGCGCCTCTGGTCCGCCGGCCCCTGCTGAGCCGAGGCCCGAGGACGGGCTCTGGTGACCCGGGTTAAGCAGAGGTGGCCAGTGTCACTGCCACGCCTGACTCCACCCTTCCCTGCCGCCTGCCCGGTGGCTGCGCAGGCTTCCTGTGGAGATGGGGCACTGCAGAGGGGCGCCTGCTGGCCCCGAGTCCTGCAGCGGGGAGGAGCCCAGGCCCAGCTGTGGGGCTCTAAGCCCTGGGGCTTGGCGGGCCCCTCCTGCTCCTGCCCACACCCCTGGCCACTCCTGGGATGTTACTGTCGGTCCCACCTGTGTCTCGGTGACAGAGAAGCAGGCACTGCCCTCCCCAGACAGTATTGCCACAGGTAAGAAAACTGACCTCGTATACCCAGACGGGTGCTCCCTGCCACCACCTTCCAGGACACTGTCCAGGGACTACGCAGAGCTACCACGCCTGGGACGCCATCAGTGTCCCCAGTAATGCAGTCACGGACTGACAGGCCCTGCTTACCTGCCTGACCACTCACACTAACTGTGGCCGGGACCTAACGCAGGACAGAGCAGACTCAGGAGGACGAGGAAGAGGGAAGGCCACTCTGGACAGGAGATCTGGGCTCTGTCACCTGCGGCATGTGGCCCTGGCCAGGTTTTGTTTTCACTGGGGGTGAGGTCCCCATCTGTGGGAAGGGTCCCTTCTGCCTGGGCTGCAGGGTGCCCGCGGTGAGTCCGCTGGGGCGAAGCTCAGGGCCCAGCCTGGACCCGGACCCTGGCATCTCCACTCGCCAGATGCCCGAGGGCGGCCCATGACCTGACCATCCAGAAGGCTTCAGACTGACCCCTGCCTGGCAGGGTGGCCGTGATGACCGAGAGGCTTTTGACCCTCGATGGGCCAGACGTGGTGCTCAGCCTTTAGGACCCACGTCTCCTTTTTGCCTGTCCAAAAACCTGAAGAGGCAGGACCCCGCCCAGCTCTGCCGCAGCGCTCACTGGGAACCGTGGGCGCGATCAGCGACGGCCCCTCAAGGGCAGAATCGAGGACAGCACGGTGTCATCCGTGAGAAACTCCAGGTGAGCAAACCCGCCCGGCCCAGCCTGGTGTGCAGAGCCCCCAGGCTCACACCCCTGGCCCCCGCGGATGCCGACCTCCCCCTCTTGCAACCTGCGTGTCACTGGTCTTTACTGGGCTCTCCTCTCCCGAGCCGCTGAGGAGGCCTCAGCTGGGCGCCAACAGCTTCTGTCCCACGAGCCCTGGGCAGTTCTGCAGGATGTCACAGCGAGAGGACGTGGGATCACTGAAGCCCAGGAAGCGTCAGAGCGAGCGCCACCTGAACTCCATTCACCACTGGGAGAACCGAGACCAGGCTTCAGGTGCAGAGCCGTCCCCGGCCCAGCCTGCACCCTGGCAGCAGTGACACAGTGACAATGATCATTCAGCACAGCCTGCAGTTGTCACGACCCCCGGGACGCGGTTCTAACCAGCTGGGGAACAGGCTCCGAGGTCCCCCAGCTCGTGACGGCACAGGGGCCAGACAGAGAAACGTCATGACCCTGGTCCCATCGGTTGTGATCCCAGGGGAACGGAGGCACCTGGGTCCAGGCAAGAGTCACCAGGCTCTCAGCCCCAGAGGGGGACGCTGAAGCGAGGCCGGGTTCTGAACACACAGCAGCAGCTGCGAGGGACAGTTACGGGCGGCAGGACCCAGTGCCCAGCGGGCGGCATTCAGAACCCCTCTTGGAGGGACGCTCCTGCTGCCAGACCTGGTTATTACAAAAGGTCAGAAATCTGGCCTTTCATGTGAGCTCCTTCCGTCTTTAAAGACATTAATGAAGATGTGTGGGCAGGAGAGGACCCTCGGTCAGCTTGGAGCCTGCCCTCACTGCACCCTGCCTGGCTGAGCACTCGGTGTCTGGGGAGGAGGGCGCGGTGCCCCCAGGGACCCCCACTCACTGCTTGATGCTGCAGACGGCGTAGCCCCTGCCCAGGCACTGGTTGTGGCCCATCCCCCAAGGCACGCTGGGGTGCTTCAGCCGCTTCCCGTCCTTGTAGAAGTCTCTCTTCTCCGACCCGTCGGCGTTCAGGAACCGGTCGTACTTAAACGTCTGGAAATGGAGGAGGGCCCACTTTTAACCCCAACCCCAACCAGCGACCAGTGAGTGGATGGTCCACGAGAAATGAACGCGGACGTCCTCGCACGCTCGATGATCAGAGGGACGCGGCAGAAGTAAGGTCCACCAGGGGACGGCTACAGAGCCTCGGCGGAGGGTGAGGGTCTGACGGGAGGAAGGACTGCTGTGGCCGTGGAGCAAGCAGTGCACACGCGTGTGAGTATGCTGCCACGAGTCCATGAAGGAAGGACACAAGTGAGACACACTCCAAAAACAAGACGGTCAGGGAACTCTGGCACTAGAGGGGGGGACGACATCTTTCCTTTTTACTTTATGATCTGTGACCGTGGGGACGCACCACGAAGACTAGAGCGTCCTGAAGAGAGAATGGCACTCCCTCGGGCTGCCTGGGCAGGGGCAAGGCCACGGCACGTGAGCACCAGGCCCAGCAGAGGAAGGGCCGCAGACGTGCCCAGGGAGGCGGGCGAGCCCACCAGCTGGACAGTGGGTGGGTGGGTGGAGAGATGAGTGGGTGGAGGGATGGATCTCTGGATAGATGGATGGACGAATGGATGGATGAATAGATGGATGAGTAGATGGATGGAAGGTGGATGGATGATGATAGATGGATGGATGATAGATGAGTGGATGGATCTCTGGGTGGATGGATGGTAGATGGATGGATGGATGGTAGATGGATGATAGACGGATGGGTGGGTGGATAAATGGATGGATGGATGGGTATCTGGATAGATGTATGAATGGATGGATGGATGGAAGGTGAATGGATCTCCAGATAGATGGATGAGTGGGTGGATGGATGGATGGTGGATGGGTAGATGGATCTCTGGATAGATGGATGAGTGAATGGATGAGTGGATGGATGGATAGTGGGTGGGTGGGTGAATGGATGGTAGATGGATGAGTGGATGGGTGGATGGTGGATGGATGGATGGATGGATGGATGAGCAGATGGTGGATGGATGGATGGTGGAAGGATGAGTGGCTGGGTGGATGGTGGATGCATGGGTGGATGGGTGGATGGTGGATGCATGGGTGGATGGTGGACGGATGAGTAGACAGATGGATGAGCTTATAGCCTGAGATCTGCCATACAATAAGCAACTAATCTGTTAGCAACTGTGAAAGTTTGCTCCATCTCTAAGTCCAGGGAGAGGAAGAAGCTGAGAAACGGATAGACACAAAGTGGCCACTTAGGTAGCACTTGACGTGTGCCGGGTCCTGTGCAGCCTTTTCTCACGTGATCTCCCTGACAACCGTGCCAGGCAGGTGTCATGATGGGGACCATTCCACAGGTAAGGAAAAAAAACCACAGAGAGGCAAAGCATTCGAGGCAAGTTCACACAGCAAGCAAAGACACAGGAAGGATGCCACCCAGACCTAGATGTCCCCCAGGGCCCCTGGTGTGACCAACACCCCTGCCGTTTACCTCGGGATCCGAGTAGATGTCAGGGTCTCTCTGGGGACTCAGGAAGGGGAAGAGGAGGAGGCGGTCACCACGTCGCAGAGAGAATTCCCGCCCATCGGCCATGGGCATAGCCATGTCCACCACCACCTCCCGGGTGATGAAGGGTGCAGCTGTGAGCCTGAGGGTCTCATCCAGCACACTGTCTGCATGGGCAGTGAAGGGAGGGTCAGGTCAGTAGGCCGTCCTCAGGTGCCATGCCACCCTCATGTGACAAAGGAAGACCAAGAGGCTCAGAGAGGGTACACGCCTTGCCCACAGTCACGCAGCAAAGTGAAAGAGGCCGGATGTGATCTCTGGTCCCTCAGAGACCTTGAATGACAGGGGTCTGGTTCTGACTCCAAAGGAAGCTGTGAGCGGGGAGCCAGGGGGACATCAGAGTGCTGGGGGCGTGTATCTTTGCCTGCCCAACATCCCCGATCTGAAGAGTCCTCTGGCATTCCTCTGGGGACTACCCTCCTAGTCCAGGAGTCAGGATCCTGGCCCTATTCTTCACTGTGGAACTGGACTTTGATGGGCCAACCAGAGCGCTGCAATTGGTTAAGGATGGGCCTTTGACCCAAAGGGCCAATGAGACCAAGTCTGGGACTGTAGTTAGGAATGACTCGTCACAGAGCAGAAGGCGGTCAGTCTTGAGCTGTGGCAGCCAGCCACCTTGCCAACCCGAGACTGGACCAGCCTAGTGGAAAATGGGCTGAGAGGCGAGAGAGAACTGGTCTTGATGACATTGTTCAAGCACCTGGATCCACCTGTGCCTGAAGCCCAGTTACCTCTGGACTTTTCAGCTCAGTGCCCCAAATAAAGCCCCTCTTCCACTTCGGCCAGTTTATTTTAGATTTTCTGTCCCTTGCAACCAAACATCTCTACTAGGACCATGAGCCTCGGGGCAGGTGAGACTGGAGAATGGAGATGCCAGGACTCCAAAGACAGCAGGCTCTGGGGACCCTGGTCAGAGGACACTGACGGGCCCTCACATCCACGCTGGGAGACAACTCGGGCTTGGGGCTCTCCTGGAGGGTCTGCCATCTCACCGAGCACGGGCATGTTGTCTAGCACCTTCTGCGGGAGGGTGGTCATCTGTGAGCCGGGCTGCTCTGCTCCCCAGAGGACGCGCTCCAGCTCCCCGCGGACGGCAGCCAGGGCCTCGGGATTCTTGAGAAGAAAGAGGAGGAGCCAGAAGGCAGCAGGCCCCATGTTTCCCTGCAAGAGAAGGAGCCCGTTGCCCACTGTGACGGCCGGCTGGGCTGGTCTCGGCCGTGGGGGCAGCTCTGGCCAGGGAACGGGGCACTAGCAGGGTCTACCTGCAGCCCAGCCACAGCCAGACTCTGCTTGGTGCTTTGGCCTAGCCCAGGACCTATCTCAGGGCCACTCCTGGCATCGCTGACCTTGAGCAGAATCCCTGGACCGAGGTCACGAGGAGCTCCTCAGAGCCCATCAGCAGGTGTCAGTCCTGACGGACAGGAGCATGGCTTGTCCGTCAGGACTACTGTGAACATGGGGGATGAGCAGGTCGCCGGCCCCAGTTTTCCCCACTCCCTAGATCCGCACCCTTTACCATGTGACTCCCATTCCTGGGAAGAGGCAGAGCACATCCCCTGTCCTTGAATCTGGGCTCAGCCCTGGGCTTGCCTTGGCCAACAGAACAAGGAGGAATTGGCAGGACAGCAGCTCTGAGCTGGCCCTAACAGACCTTGTGTGTTCCCGTGCCCCACAGACCCAAGTCCAAGAAGAGATGGGAAACACATGGCCTGCTGGGCCCCAGGTGGACCGCATTGGCCCTCAGACCTGTTAATTAAATGAAGGCTGATCAGAGACGCCACTGGGTCCTGGGGATGTTTGTTACACAGCAGCAGCCAACAGACACACTATCCAAACAAAGTTTGGGACACAAAATTTCCTTATATGCTTTATCTGTCACACTTCTATTAGTCATCTGAAGAATAGGTACATGTGACTATTGTATTCATATAAAGGAAAATTGACGGTCACTGATGACTCTGAAAACTTCTAAGTTTTAAACAAAGCTTATTTGAAACTTCTCAATAGATAAATAGTTAAGAAAATCCATGGAATTTCTTGCTCCAAGGCTGAACACTTCCGTAAACATTTTGGCCTCCACCACCAGTGACCTAATGTGGACGGAATATGAAAGGCCTCAAGTGGAGGAAAGGATTGTGTCTATCATAAATGACCACCCTGCCCAAGCTATAATGAAATATGAAATCGTGACTCAATATCACATCTCCCCAGGAACCAAGCTCATTGCAGATACACGTGTGACCTGCACACGGCCAGGTCACATGCACGGGACATCTACTTCTGTGCTAACGTGACAGGGAAACGTGGGAATGGGCTCCGTGTCCATCCACGGGAAAGCCGCTGGATGCATGGTGAGCAGCCCTGGGGTGACCGCACATGAAGTCGTCAAAAACCCGTGCAGAGCCACCTGTGTGTGGGGACAGGAACTGGCTGTGGCCACCTGAGGAGGTACAGGACCTGGTCGGAGGGTGCCTCCGGGGCAGTGGGTGGAGGACAGGAGGATGGGGGACAGGGAGGCTCTGCCTCCTTACACACTGGAACACTCTGGCAGATGCATGAGGGCGGAGGGTGACTTTACAGTGATCTGCAGTGACATGAGAGGCCCGCGACCCAATGCTGACTCAAGCAGAAGGCGGGGTGAGAGCCAGGGCGCAATCCTGGGGACGGAGAGGCCTTCCTGTCCTTCTGTCTGCATTCCTGTCCTTCTGTCTGCGAGCTCAGCACTAAGGAGGCGCCCCTCCCCGGCGCCACCCGGCCACGAAGCAGGCGCCACCATCAGGGCCTTTACTGAAGAGGAGAATAGAGGGGTCCTCCTGGCGCCCAGCGTATAGAGGTCTCCAAGACACCAGATGGAGACCTGGGCAGCTGGGCCATCCCAGCCCATGACTCTAAAGAGTCACCTCCGACTCCAGGCTAGCACCAAGCCCGGCTGAGGGTGATAAGAGACCCCTCCGGGTGGCCACGGGGCTGGCCAGCCTGGTGCAAGTGACCCCACATGGCCCCGAGCACAGAGCGAGGAGCTCCAGGGGACACCACTGTGCCGCCCACCCCTCCCCAGGGTTGAGCACAAGTGGGGACAGCAGGCTGAGACCGCCAGGCCCCTCCCTGTCCATCACTGATGGCCGATGGCCCGGGGAGTGTGGGCGATGAATAATTCAGCGCTGGTGAGCGCAGCGCCAAGGCCCTGTTAACCGCCCAGCGGGAGGGGAACCCTCGGGCTCCCAGGACACAGCAAGAAGGCGTCCCACCCAACCACATAGATGTGCGTGAGCGTGCGTGTGTGCAAGCCGCAAGTGTGGCCACACAAGGGATCCCGAGTTCAGCTCCCGTGGGGCCCTGCCTCAGCCGATTCCCTCCTGCTGCGGGGAAGCCCGAGACCTGAGGCTGCTGCTCTGTGTCATGGCAGTCCCTCGGGGTCCCGCGAGCCCCGTCCTAGGCCCGCGGCTGCACCACCAGTGGTGACGGGCACCCTGCCTACCTGTCCTGCAGACGCTCTCTCGTCCTCAGGGGGCAGCGCCCACTCTCCTCGGCTTCACCCCGTGTCCATGTAGATCATGGGGGGCAGCCCTTCCCCCTAGACCTCAGGGTGGGCCTGTGACCCAGGAAGGGCACTGCACGAGCCACTCAGAGGGGACAGGGGACCCAGCTGGGCAGGTGTGAGCATCAGATTTGGGATCTGTGCAGTTCTCACGGGGACGACAGCCCTCCTCCTCGGGGATCAGGAAACCGCCTGGCGCTGCCAGTGCCATCGGGGCCACCACACAGGGGAAGCCCCCGAGGGTGCAGCCAAGGTGACAGGAGGATGGAAGGTCATGGGGGGCATTTCTTTTAATTTGTGATTTTTAAGAAACGTGGAGGGAATAAAAACACACCCTCGGTGTGACAACCACGTACCCAGGTGGCTCATACAGTGTAACAAATGTACCACGGGGTGGGGGAGGGGCTGCAGGGCAACCCCAGCCCTTTCCATTAAAATTTAAAATCGCTCTAAAAATACAGTCAACTTAAACAACAAAACCCAGCACCCAAGGCGGCATCCTGACTGGATCCTGGAAAACCAGGAAGATCTGAATCAAGCAGGGACTTGAAACCACAGCCACGCGGCTGGGCAAGGTCAGCTGAGAGGAAGCCTGGGCGGGAGGTGCCAGGAATCCCCTGCGCTCTCGCTCTCCGCAGCTCTTCCATGATCCAAAACTGTTTCCAAATAACACTACCGAAGGGAAAAAACCCTTCACGGGGTGAAACTGAAGCTCACCGACGTGACTGTGCACGATCTCAGCGCCCACCGGGCCGGTGCAGGGCTGCGGATCTGCACGTCCTGATGCAGGGCCTGTGCGGCGCGGGTCTCTGTGCGCTGACCGCAGCCTGCGGCCCCCACTCCTCCCTCGGGAGCACAGGAGGGCCGCATGGGGACAGGTGGGGCTGTGGTCCTGCGCTGGGTCCACAGGGCTGCGGGGACCTGATGCGTGGAGCTGGCTGTGGTCCTGCCCTGAGCCCCCACCGCGCGGGCCCCACTCACCTCCCTCGGCCCCCCCACCTGACTCTCCTCTTCAGCTGCGTGGACTTAGCTCTCGCCCAGGGCGTCCCTGCTTGCCACCCCCTGGATGCTGGACCCCCGCTGCCCCCTCCTGTCTTATTCCGGACTCTGGGGTCCCAGCTCCATGGAGCCTCATGAGGCGCTCGGGAGGTGAGGTGTGCAAAGCGGCCAACAGGACGTGTCCACGGGACGTGGTCAATGGCTTTTGAAGCCCCACCCCCACTCACCCGCGGGTCTGACAGCAGCGGTCTGGACACTTCTCAACCCTCGCAGCCTCTGGGCAGCTCGTCACCACTGCCCGCCGGGACGCTCCTGCTGGCCTCCCACTCCCTGGCCACCATTCTTGGCCTCCCTTGCTGGCTCCTCTGGTCTTTCCCACCCTCACAGCTGGGGAGCCCAGGGCTTGGGCCCCTTCTCCCTCCACCCTCACCCACAGAGCTCTGCCCAGCCCAGTGGCTTCATGGTCAGCTCCTACAGCTGCATCTCAGCCTGCACCCGGCCCTGAGCTGCAGGCTGCCTTCTCCAGGGGGCCCCGCCCCTCCCCCTCAGCCACCAAAGGCCCCCCGGCTGCTCCCAGGCTGCTCCCCACCATCCCCCTGGCTGGTAATGGCACCTTCACCCTTCCTGGCCCTTCGGTCACTCAGACCAAAATCTGGATCTCCGCGGACACCCTGCCAGGGTTCCACCCGTCGTCCACACCAACCACTTGGCCTCCCTTGCTGGCTCCTCTGGTCCCGCCCGGCACACCGGGGCCCACAGGCCTCCCACGTGTCTGCTGGGTCCCTGCCGCCTGCTGGGCCAGCCTGCACCCTCCTCCCTCCTCCCGACCCTCCCGGGGGAAGGTGCTGTCCTACAGTCAACTAAAGGACGGGGTGGGGGCGGGGGACGGGGACTATTGAGACAGGAAGTGGTGAAGTCACCCAAGCCCAGGCCGCGGGTCACCACGCTGGGGCCAGGCTGCTCGGCCTCCAGGCCCTGCTCCCTGCTCCCAATGCTCAGGCCGTGAAGGTCCCCACTCCCGGGCCCGCCAAGGCTGTCCCCTGGACTCTGCCACTCGAGCCCCAGCCAGCCCCAGTTCTGCTGACACCGGGCACTTCCACGGGCTCTGGGGACAGCTTGGAGTGCAGAGTCATCTCAGCCCATAAATATGTCATCAGGCACTAATGGGGGAGCCCTGATGGAAGGCACCCCCAGCCTGGGCCTCGAGGACAGTTAATGGCTCTGAGAGAGCACTAAAAATAAGTCACAAGTCGATGGCACAGGAACTGCCCAGAAACGTCAGCCTGGGCGACTGTCACTGCCAGGGACGAGCAGGGGGGGGGGGGCTCGAGAGCCAGAGCAGAACAGGACCCGCACCAAGGCCACCCCACCCCAACTGCTGGCCCTTACCATTCCCTGCTCTGCTGTCCCCGAGTGCCCCGGGCCATCCATCTCCTCGCGAGCTTTGGCCACCCCTGACCCTGCCACCTCTCTCCTCGTTGTCCCTGCTCCTGCCCTTGTCCCTAAGGTCCCAATCCTCCTGTGCTCCTGCTTCACCCAGAGGAAATCCCAAGTCCCCATGAGACCTACAGGACAGAGCAAGGGGAGAGGGGATCCTAGGGAACAACGGTGACCGAATTAAATTACGTCAAGTGCACGTATGAATATGTGACAATGAGTCCCGATACTTTATATAATTATAAGGCACCAATAAAAACGGGGAAGAAAAACGCCCTACAACCCGCCCCAGGACCTCTGCCCTGGGTCTGTCCTGTTCACTCACTGCCGCAGCCACACTCCTGGCTGTGGCCCCAGCACCTGGCAGACGCGGCCCCAGGGCCTTTGTACTTGCTGTTTCCCTTGCCTGGAATACTCTATAGCCCCTCCTTTCCCAAGGCCCCGAGTCTAGCATTCTTGTCACCCAGGGAGCAGTTCAAACATATCCTCCCTGTCCACCGTGGCTGGAGGGGACTCCCTGGATGGCTCCATTCACGGCGGCTCCATACCCTGTACACCAGCCTCTAAAGTGGTCCTGCAGGTTTCCTCCACTGTCTGCCCCTGCCTGACCCTCACCACACCCTAAGCAAGACCAGGCGGATCTCGCAGCCTGGGGGGAGCACTCCATGGGACTTTTAAAAGATTCTGCAAGACAGGTGGCCTGCAAGCCTCAACAACGTCGAGGTTGCGGAAAAGAGTGAAAGAGGTAGGAACTGCCAGGTTAGAGGGGCAGAGTGGCTGGTGCAGCCTGTGACGCTGGCCCACGAGCCAGAGGACACTTGGACCTAACGGGAATGTGGACGAACAGACAGCGATCCTGTTCCTGGGCTCCGGGTGCTGCTGAGCTGTGGTCACGGGCAGCAGGCCTCTGCTTATTCACAAGGACTCCATCGAGGACCACAGGAGGGACAGAGAAAGGAAACGCGGGGAAGGCGGAAACCTGGGGAATCAGCCATGTGGCGCTGGAGTTCATCAAACTGTTCTTAAAGCTTTTCTCTAATGTGGCATTGCCCAAAGAGAACACGGAGGCAGGAGCCTGCTCGACTGCTGGTGTCAGGAAGTCAGGGAACGCGCAGGCGGGGCGTGTGCGCTGGGTGTGTGTGCACCAGGCGTGCGCCGACCACAAGTGCTCACGGCACACACCCACAGCCACACCGTGCCTGCCCACCTGCACACGCACGCGCTTTCGCCACACAAGCCCACGCCTGTCCCCGCGC